TAAAAACACAAATAAAGGCAGTAAGCTCCGTAACATCGGCCTTAATAACAAAAAAAAAAAAAAAAAAAAAAAAAATTTAGAAATAATCATTTTATTTATAGCATTTTTTAAATATTACTTTTAATTTTTGGCAATTACTGTAATAATTTTAATAATAATTTTATTTAATATTTTGAAACTATTTAAATTTTATTTAATATTTAATATATTATTATTAAAATATATATTTGTTTACTAAATAATTATTAATTTTATCAAAGTATAAAATTATATAAACATAATTTTTAATTGCTTCTATATTAATGATATTATATAATTTTGTTAATTTAAGTCTAGAGTATCTATAATAATATAGATACTTGATAGACTTAAAATTATATTATTAAATTAATATAAGATTATGCACAATTGCTTCAGAAGTTTTAATTTTGATTAATAAATATATCTATAGTAAATAAAATTTAGGGTGTTTATTTTTGGTACACTCTATACCATATGCAGGGTCACATGTACATATACGTGGTTGCATAACCTTCAAATTGACCCGTACTATGATAATACTTATCACATAATTTATTAAATTTTTATTATGATTTCATTATGCAAACTATTAAAACATCATTGCATAACGAATATTTATTACGATTTCATTACACAACAAATATTATTAAAACATCATTATATAACGAACATTTTAAAGTCATATAAATACATTGAAATAATTAACCAACTAATACTAAAATCCCTGATTCTAACAAGTCTAACTGTAACTAGAGCTAAAAATACCAAAACGTAACCAAAATATAGCAGCAGCAACGATCCCATACTTTCCGAATCTCAAGAATCCACAAAGACATCCTATGTTCAAGTAATGCCTTCTTAAATTCCAAAAATATAAACAACATAATCTTCGAGAAAATCAAAGATATCTAAATAAATCTAGGAAAAAAAGAGAAAGTATTAGTAACAAGTTTACAAGCAGGAATCAAGAACAACGAATAAACGAAATAATACTTTCCAAATTTTCAAAAGATATGGCTCACAATTCTAAAGAAGCTCAAAGACACCAATAAACCTAAAAAAAAACAGAAAGAAGCATTAGTAACACGTTAACAAACT